TCATAGTTTTCATCGCAATCTGCATCTCTGATTTTATGGTACGACACGAATTGCCCACAAACATTGTCCGCCGTTACTACAAATATACCATTTTGCTACATAAAGATGTAGATAATTTTCAAGTTTTGGACCAAATGTGGATGACATTACTTTAAGATACCATTTGCTAGTGAGATTAAAGTAACTGTAAAAATATATAAGAGATCATGATAAAATAACTCTCTTGGACAGTATTTACCAAGATGTACCATGTAGTTTTTGTAAGAATGTTCATAATATGTTACATTTATTATTAGCATCTGACGTTAACCGAAAATAATTAGAAGTAACGAGATAAATACATACTTCCCTGATTAAAGATATAGACCGATTGATATCTGCTATTTCATAATCCAAGATGGAAGAAGACACCCCAGCTACCTTAACTGTGGGATGATTGGGACCAAATTTCGTTTCTTCTACTGTTTATATATTTTGTTAACTTCGGATCCTCGTTGTCTTTTAAAGTGACATTATATGATCCTCCTTACTTAATTATTTGTATTTTTGTAATCAATTTGGTTTATATTTTTTTTCTTGATAGATATATAATTATTTTTTAATAAACTGCAGTATGCAAGTCAGCAATACAATGCGATGATAATGACACTTTAAAAGTGTTGTGCGTCTAAAGCTCTATTCTTGATTTCCGTTCATCAAGAACGCTCAGTCAATAAATACCTGACTATGCGAGGAGCTATATGACCAAAAGAGACCGTTGTATAATAGCCAAAATTTATCTAAGGTCAACCTGAGGTAGTTGTAATGTGAAAATCAATTATGATCTTGATAATTTTGACAGTTTTGTTTAGGCCTTGTTGGTTAGTATCTTACCTCGATAAAATAACCGATGTATTTTTTTCCAGTATCATTTGTTTTCATCGCAATCTGCATCTCTAATTTTATGGTACGACACGAATTGCCCACCAACATTGTCCGCCGTTTCTACAAATATACCATTTTGCTACAAAAAGATATAGATAATTTCAATTTTTGGGCCAAATGAGGATGACATTACTTTAAGATAGGTTAGGATAGCATTTGCTAGTTAGATTAAAGTAACTGTAAAAATACGTTAGAGGTCGTGAAAAAATAACTCTCTTGGATAGTATTTACCAGGTCGTACCACGTAGTTTTTGTAAGAATGTTCAAAATATGTTTCATTTATAATTTGCATCTACGAAAATAATTAGAAGTAATGACAGTACTATATACTTCCCTGATTCTGAGTAGATTCTGTACTCTTACGAAATTCGCTGAAAATTAGAACGCAAATAGAGAATCGGCTGCGATAAACAATAGCAAACTAGGTAAACTAACGCGCCCTACTAGATGTTGCTAAATAATTTAATTTTGGATGTAACACGTCTTCTGATTGGCTGAACGTGTTTTGTCTATCAGCTCATAGACATAATTTTGTCATGTGACCGTTACGTCACTAACGTTTTTTTCCAAAATTTACTCCTTAAAAATGGAATTTAGAATTAAATTATAAGGAATGACTGTAATAGATATTTTCAGTCTAAAAAATGTGGTGCACACTTTTAAATAACCCGCTACGCTGGTTATTCAGTGTGCACCACATTTTTTATGTTATTTTTTCATAGACAGAAAAAATATTACAGTCACTCCTTAAATAGAGTTCCATCTGATATTACTATAACACATGTGTTATAATAATTTCAGGCTCCATACAACATTTCGTTTAATAACTTAAGTATTCGACAATATATAGTATATCAGTGTTATAGCTAGAATGTAAAGAAACAACAACAGCAACAACAATTCTAATAAAAAAAAATGAACAAACAACAGACACACACAAAATGAACAGAAATGAATAAAAAAGACGATACATCACTATCTTTAATGGAAAAATAGTATAGAACGGATGCAAGCCCATAGTCCAGATGTTATTGTTATCAGATGGTATATAAGGGTTAAGTCTCGTTTTATTTGTTTGATTTAGAAATATCATTCAACATGAATACTAAGACTTTGTCAATAAAAGGAACGTTGAAGGTTAAGTAAATAATATGCAATAAATTAAATCGTAAGCAATGCGAGCAATGGTATATGAGTTTTTATTTAATTGAAAAAAAGAAGTAATATGATACTGGAAACTAGATTAAATCTGCTGCTTCAACATTTTATTCATCATTTATTTTTTGAATAAACACTACGGTAGCTACAATGTAAGTGCAATGTCAGTACAAGAGCACCGGCTATCATGCAGGTTTGTTTTACCGTTAGGAACAACTTGTAATCCATCAGCTATGCCATTGACCGAGTAGTAGTAATACAAAATTATATATGATAATTTGCTTGGTCGATGCAAAAATATTGAAAGTGAAATATAAACTCTCTTCTAATGAAATGCACGGTTGATACAAGAATGTAGATGTGCACAATAATATTCTGGGTTGTCGCCAAACAAGTTCCATTATTTTTTTTATTAAAGTGACGGTAAAAAAAAAGAGCAGCTGATATGCGTAGATTTGAATTTTTTTTAAATATGTTGATAAACAGATCATTTGCATGTTGTTGTTTTTTTCAAGTGAAAACATTTTTATATCTTATCTTATGTTTTAACGTTCTCAAAGTACACCGTTATGTTTGCTTTATTATTTAAAAAAATATTTGATTAATGATTAAAATAGATTATACTATATTTCTTAACATCATATGTACGAAGAAAAAATTCTCAACGTTTATTAATAAAGTTACATCAATTACTTAGCTCACCTGGTCACATTGTCTTATTCCACTCTGAATTTCAACCTTTTATGCTGTGCTTACAAAATTATATAGTGATAGTTTTTTATTCCATTTTCACCAAACATTGCCGGAAGGTTTCTTCAAAGTACATAAATGTATCTTCATTAGGTTTCAATCTGATACAGGGTCGTTTATTTAACCAAATTCATCACAATCCTTTCATCTAAATCTAAAACCCTATGCAGAATCACATTTTCGTATTCTTCTACTTGACAAACATTAACAAACTTGACAGGAATGATCTACTAGTATGCAAGGTTCTCAACAAATGATCCTACTTGGCTTAAATCGGATGAAAATTTAAACATTGCAGCCAAAAGTATTCTTTGGCTTTATTGAAATTAAAAATTCTTCTTATATACTATACGACAGTGCGAAATGTTTGAAACTTTTGGAGTGTGATGAGAACAAACCCATCCGAAGCTTAATTTATGAGATGCTAGTTTATTATATTTTATCATTCTATTCACTAAATGTCTTCTTAACATGTATTTTGTAAACAATTGGCACATCAGCTTTAAAAGCTCGGTGATGTGGTTTTTTTACAATATGATTTTTGAAATATCACGATGTTAACTAAATTCAAGCAAAGTAAATACAAGTTGAATAAAATAATTATATAGGGTGAATCTGAACTATATTTAAGGATGCATTCTTCTGATGTTTCAGTCTCGTTGAAATCTCCTTCGGGAATTATTCCAAAACATGTGATATAAGTGGAAAATATCAATGAATTTAAAAAATATTATAATCAAACTAAACTATGTGAAAAAATTGTGAACTTACAATAAGTTGTTTTTGAGTAATAAAATTTCAATTTTTATAAGCAATCCGGTCAGTGTCATCAGCCAAAATGTCGAGAAAATGGGTAATGGTACGAAGAAATGATTCTACCAAAAATATGTGCATCCCATATCAATTTTTTCATTTCAAAATACTTAGATATGTATTTTTTTCAATCATTAACACCTACCTATAATTTTTTTTAAGTTAAATTTAGTCAGATTGGTCCACTTCATCTTTAGTGAAAGCATGAAAAAAAAGTTTAATTGTAAAACTGTGATTTTTTTCATGATAATAGCCCAAAAATGGATAAAAATTGATGAAAAATGGGAAAATCATAAAAATGGGGTACTTTTAAATGGCCGTAGCAAAAAAAGAAGTGCACCACCATATGATTTCTTCTCCATGAATTACTTTCTTACAGTCTTATATATAAACCCAAAAATCAGGTTAAGAAAAAAAGTTTAATTCTAGAAATTTTTGGCTCCTCAGAGGTGTACATCCTTAAGCTTAAGATTTTTAGATTTTTCATCTTTAAATGTCATTTTTTAAATATTTACAAAGTTGGCATCTATGCTGCAGGTGAAAAGATTAGCCACCTAAAATTTCTAAATTACCGCTATTCAACTATTCAATTTCATTACCGTAAAGAGTTTTTGTAAACATAAAGTATTTACTTTCATTAATGTCCTTCTTTATGTGAACTTGAACGTTGACAAACAATATATATATATATCGTTTATTGAATATCAACACCTTCGTAATACATTGAATAAAATCGTTGTACTTAATTCGAATTACCTCGATAGCTTTAGAATTTAAAAAGAACAAATAATTTACCTGTAAGAAGGCAGATTGTCATCTTTGTGGCCATGAGTCAATTGAAATGCTTACATTTCTGTACCACAGTGCTCTGATTATAGCTTTGAAAACTGTGATTTTTCATACAAATTTATCATATATCAACAATAAAGGTAATTATATATTTTCCAACTTTGGGTCAAATTGAATAAAGATTTTTTATATTAGATCAATATAAATTCAGGCGATTTACTGAATTTCCAATGGTGTTAAATCAATTTCTACAACCTTTTAACAAATAAGAAACTCATAATAATAAAATCTAATTACAACCTTTCTTTAAATTTAAATTCAATTCCAGTTTCTGTTGATTTCACAGTATAAACAAATTCAAATAACCTCGTCCTGATAAATATTGATAGTTGTTATTCTATATAATGGACGATGTTGTCCTTTGTGCTATCTTAGTATTGACGGATCAGCCAAAGTAGGCATTGTTCATATACAGCTAAGTTGTCCAGCTGATTATTCCCATAAATCTAAGAATTTACGGAATAAAGAGAAATCGCTTCGACTTTATATACAAGTTATTATCATGGATGTTACTGAATAGTGCGATCTGATATTTACACTAAAAAGGTTTATTAACTACTGTCTAAAACGTGAAATTTTTTTTTCTAACGGGAGTTCTCTACAGTTTGAAATCTTGATATACCAATGAAGTTCGAAGGACTAAGTACTTTTAGAACATCTTTTCCACCATTTCGAAAACAATTGCCGCTGGAACCTATAAACTCAGATTCATCAAAACTTAAGGAAAATGGTAGAACAATCTACAACAGTGTGCGAATGGTCCGGTTTCGAAGCGACGGAATGTTGTTCCCTAAACCAATAGTGTTTCATAATTTATCTTCTTTCTTACCGGACATAAGGCTAGAATATCATGAATCTGCAAATATATCTTTGTTTGAACAATATAGACAAAGTGGAATTGTAGCTCTGCTTATCAATGGTGAAATTGTTATTCGGAAACGTAGACATTGGAAAACAAAGCTTAAAGCGTCTAAATATTTCTATGACCCGATTAATAGGAAGATTTCAACTCCAGAATCTTTGATCGATGAAACGGAAACTGCTCCTAAAATTGTCATTCAGGTAGGCTGATAATTACCGATTTGATTGACTTTTCAAATTAGTCAAAGCAACCAATTGCAATATTTAACTGTCTGGACAGTAATAATAGAAAAAATCCACAAACTTTGTAGATATATTTATGTACGTATGAAATATAGCTAATTTAATGGAATTCTATGCGACTGTCATACAAGTGAGAGGTTGAGCTAGCTATAAAACTAGGTTTAATCCACCATTTTCTACATAAGGAAATGCCTGTACAAAGTCAGGAATATGACAGTTGTTTTCCATTCGTTAGATGTGTTTGAGCTTTTAATTTTTCCATTTTGTAAAGGACTTTCCGTTTTGAATTTTTCTTGGCGTTCGGTATTTTTGTTATTTTACTTTTTAATACAATATCTTGGTTGCAGCTGATTTTTTCCAACCACGTAAGAAGTGTTTAAATTTGAATTTTTAAAAGATGATTAAACATTTCAGAAACAAAATAAAAATATGTTGAATACTTCCACTTTTTTACGACAGAATCTGCGATTTTTACAAAATTTTACAGACATCATCATCATTTGGTTGTTCGTTATCGATTATCTGTGGCACAGATGAAGCGCGGATAAGTTCCATTTGGCGTTTTAGCTAAAGCCCCATCCTCCTTTTCTCTTTTATGATAGCCAGAGTCTTTTTTTATATAATCTAAGTAAAATGATTAGTTCAACAAGTGGAGAAAAAATTTTGATTACCCTTCAACAGCATCTGAGTTCATCCGATGTTTTTGTTTGGATTTGTGTTGACCAATGTTCAGTTTCATAGCTTTTTGTGGACTGTTATTTGTTTTGTCGTCTTTTTTCCATGTTGCTATCAGTCATTTGCGAAAGCCCTTATTGTAAATTTAAAAGTAATAGAGCTAATATCTGTTGAACTTGTTTGATGCTAGATATATTTTTAAAAAGCTTGGATTCGTCAGTCATATTGACATATTTCGTGTGTGTACATCGTTGTAACTTGGTGACGACATTGTGTTGTACTTCGCAACATGAATCCACATTGTATATCCTTAAAAAAAAGACTCAAAACTGTAACTTTACAAGTTTTTGGCTAACTCGCTTATTTATAAAAAAATGTGTAAGAACTTTCTTCACTAAAGCAAACATTTATTCTGAAGTAAATCTATCATTTTCTTTTGGTTCAATTTAAATCGTTTGATTATGAATGTCCTTTATGGCAGAAATTTGCAAAACACGTAAGACAGAATTGTATTCACCTGCAATGGAATGGCGCTTTCAACTTCCTGATTTCATTGATATACTATAGAAAATGGTAAAACATCTTTTAAGTATATTCTGTATGCACTATAGATTTTAGGTATTAAGAAATAACCATCTAATCCATTTTTTCATCCCGAACGTGTATATCTATATGATATTCTGTGATTTTTAAAAATTATGTTTTGATTGTCCATGTGTTAGTAGGGGATGTGCTCTCAGTCTTTCAATGTTTATTTGATTTTCCCCTTTAAATTTGTTTTGTAGACTTCTTCTGTCTCTACGGTTAGGATATTGAAAAAAAAATCTGAAGTTTAAAGAGATCTATTTAAACTAAACTTATCTTTATGTTTTTACTTAATTCAGCCTCTTGTCAGGTTCCGAAGGGCAGTAAAAAATGTACAGACTCTACTAAAAGCTACAGTAATAAACAATGGACAAAACTCTCGCAATGAAGGCAAACTATTTTCCTGGGCACAAGACTTCATGTCTACTCGTCGTGAGTTTGAGATGCATGGATTAAGTTTCGATCCAGCAGATTATAAAGCAAGACGAGAAGTAAGTAGTATTAGCCTTTAAATTCAAATCAAATATTCTGAACACCCGATACAGAAACTTTATTAGATCATATCAAATTATATTGACAAACACACAATTATTTATACTTATTATCAATTTCAAATAAATTTATGTTTCATATGCTTATTTTTATCTTTTATTTATAATTCTTTAAAGATACGAGTAATTTACTTACTGTCTTCATTGTTTCTAACGCTATGATGAATTCTATATTTTCGACAAAGCACTTATTTCATATAGATTTGGTTATGAAGGGAAAAGATACCAAAGGGGGCAATCAAAAACAGGAACTCGAGGAAAGACGGACGACCCCTGCCATATAAAACTCCAAATAAGTACTAAATAGTGAGAAATACAAACCCCAATAAAATCCAGGGATCTTTATTTTGGTCTTTTATTATGTGTACTTATTGAACTTAAACTGTCAAATCCTTTTGGGTTTGATTTGATTTGATTTGATTTTTGGTGTTTTAACGCCACTTTTAAGCACCGCTTTTGGGCTATTTCGTGGCGGCCAGTTTTTATTGGTGGAGGAAGCCGGAGTGCCCGGAGAAAACCACCGACCTTCGATAGGAAAACTGACAATCCTAGTCAATTAAGATTGGAGTCGAGTGCACCCGCACGAGCGGGGTTCGAACTCACAACCTCAGTGTTGACTGGCTAGTGATTACAGTAGTAACTACTTAGACCACTCGGCCACCGAGGCCCCGCTTTTGGGTTTGATGTCAAATTCATGTGAATGTTTATTAGACTTTATCTTATGTAAGACTTTTTTATAGTAAAATATATTCCAAGATCAGACGGCGTAGTTGAACGTGGTCTTTGGAAATAAGTAGTCCCTAACCAATGGCCATCTTAATTTGATTAGATTTTTAAATATGAAAAGGAAGTGAAACTTATGTTCTTTTGTTCGCGGTAGATTCATAATGCTTCAAAAGAGTATGCCCTCTTTTACAATGATAAAGTTAATATAATTCATATTTTATTGAGTTTTCTCAGTTCTTCCATTTAAATAAATTTACGTATTCAAAGTCCTTTAGCTTAATTAGAAAATAGGAACATATAAATACTGTATGTTTCACATTAGATAAATAAATGTCCGATTTTTAGTAAAAAAGCACAATTTTATGTAGGCATGTCTCAGCAATGAAGCAAAGACAGTGTTGTCAATGGACCCTGACGAAAGAACAGAGGATCAACTGAAAATAGCTCTTCTAGCGTTGAACCAGGCGGTAAATGCCTTCAGTGAATTTCCAATCACCATGCAAAGATCTTTGGTTCGTGTTGGTTGGTATGAACAGTAAGTCGTTTTCGTCTATTTTGTGATATTTGTGTTTTTAAATGGCTCGTTTTAATGTTTTCGTTACAAATAAAAGGACATGTAGGTTATAGTACTTGATTTTCATATGATGAAGACATAATCTTTCAATCAGTTTAATTGTGGTCTGGAGCTGGCATGTCAGTAACTGCTAGTAGTCCTTTGTTCATTTATGTATCATTGTCATTTTTCTTAGTTTCTTTTGTTACCTATTCTGACATCGGACTCGGACTTCTTTTAAACTGAGTTTTACTGCGCGTACTGCTATGTGTTTCTTTATTCTACATTGGCTAGAGGTATAGGGGGAGGGTTGAGATCTCACACAACATGTTTAACCCGCCGCATTTTTGCGCCTGTCCCAAGTCAGGAGCCTCTGGCCTTTGTTAGTCATGTATGTTTTGTTAATTTTAGTTCATTTATATGTTTTGGAGTTAAGTGTGACGTCCATTTTCACTGAACTAGTACACAATTTTATTTAGGGGCCAGCTGAGGACCACCTCCGGGTGCGAGATTTTCTCGCTGCGTTGAAGACCCATTGGTGGCCTTCGGCTGTTGTCTGCTCTTTGGTCGGGTTGTTGTCTCTTTGACATATTCCCCATTTCCATTCTCAATTTTATAGTACAACGCGACATCAATTCTTCAACAAAAAATATTCAAAATAACGTTTATATCAATTTTCACCAGATAAGTTTCATACAAAACTGAAAACTACAATAGTATTTATTGGCCACTGTTTCTTCCTAAGAATTTATCCACTGATATCAAAATGTTCATTTTTTTTAAATTTCAAACTTTAAATTGATATTTTTATTCTCCGAAATAGAATGGAATAAATTTAGGCAAAAGTCGTTTACCGATGTTGAAGAATAAAGCTAAACAATACTGAGGGAAAAGCATGAATTCCAAAAAGGAGATAGATCGGATACATCGACAGGTTAAGCCTTCTATTTATCATAATGAATCACTCGCCATGTGAATCCACACTGTTAAAATGTTATTTCTGTAATAAAACTGTTTACAGCTTTGAAGACAAGCGTGTGATTATTAGACAAGGACATATGGCAGACAACTTCTACTTAATCATCTCAGGAACAGGTAATTATTCAACCTAAGGTATTAAGTAGGCGAATACCAATGTACCTAAAACAGAGGCGGGATACACCAAAGGGAGAATAACACCAATAAAGCGAAAAGACCGACAACTTCATGGCAAAACACGATAACACAATCAACAGACTACAAAATACTATATGTAAACAACACAAACCCCATCAAAAACCGGGTGTCATCTCAGGTGCTCCGGAAGGGTATGCAGGTCATATTTTTTTGTGAGACACGATCTGTTTTATTATGTGATATGTTGACTTCTCGATGTTTGATTATTTATGTTTTATTGTCGTTGTTGCTGTTTTAATTTGTTCAAGTTTTTACCAAAAATGAAATATTTTATGCAAAAGACAATTATATGGCTACAGATTATGGACTTGGACTATATTTGAAACGTTTTAATGTACTCGCACCCTTCCATATAATACTGTAAATTAACTTATTTTCGCGACTTTCGCGAGTAAAAAAATAATGCAGATATAAATCGCCGTGAATATGTAAAACTTGGATCTTTCCTTATTTAACTAAATCAAGTGAATTTGAAAATCGCGAAATTAAATCGTAGCGGAATGGACTAGAAAGGTCTAAACGCGAAGTAAAGTATCCGCGAAAATAATTTGGTTTACAGTATGTATATGTTGTGTACAAGTTGTAATGTTGTACAAATTATAATTTGTACAGATTTTTTGTGCAAGTTATCAGTGTTTTAACTTTTACTTAACACAAATGGTTGATGCAAACACACAGTCTTTTATTTTGCATACTTCTGTCATATTTCCACAACTACATGATACAATCTAATACTGAGCATTGATACAAGCACATTATAAAAAAACAAAATACTTTTTATGGATATGATTTTGGTATAAGGAGAAAAATGAAAAATCGAATTTAAAACATTCAGGTGTGCTTATTTCCAGTTTGAGAACAAGGAGAATAGCACTAAATGTTAGGTTGAAGTATATAAATTTGAATTTAAGACATTAAACTGATTCATTTAAGAAGATAAACTGTTATTACCTAGTGCAAGAAGGTATGTGTAAAAAAACTTATAACTTGTACAAAAGCCCTGTATAAATTATAATTTGTACAAACTTACATCTTGTACACAAGTATTAACTTACATCTTGTACACAACATATATATATATTGTCTTTCGAATGTTTTACACTAATTTTCAATCCACCAAAAAATATTAAATACAAAAAAACAAAATTGAAAATATCTATGGGACAAAAAAAAAGGATAAGCCGAAAAAAGAAAACAAAATCAAAAAGACAACAAACTTTTAATGTCAATTAAATACTACATAGATAAACAAAGATTTATTAGCAAGAAAGTGAAGTCGGAGTATGTGAACATATATGTTTAAAATTATTGATATGAATCAAATGAATGCTTTTGATAACAAAAAACTTTGTCCGTATTTTCAGTATGATATCGTATAAAAAGATATTATTCCGTTTATTGAAATCCTTTTCTGTTTGATGAGTCGATCTCGACAGACGTCAACGAAATTTGATCAAAATAAAAATGTCTTTGTTACGGATATAAAGACATCTATATAGTGCATTTTGTTTTCTGTTTACACTAATCTCTGTATTTACTGTTCTCATTTTGTCTACACTTCGTGATGCGTCTTTTTTTTACTTTTGTGATCTATTTCGATGGGTAAACAGATTGTGCGTAAAAAAGATCAAATGGTTAAAACGATTGATGTTAATAAATAGAGAAGACCATTTCATCTTCAACATATATGATTATTATTCCTTAATAATAATACTTCATTTTGGTTGTTTCTTTTAAATGCCAATGGGTGTTGCAATATCAGAATTAAACATATTATGTGATTTATTAATACATTCCAAAAAAACTAAAACCTTGTAAAATTTTTGTAACGAGAAAATTATCAATGGTGTATCATTGTAATAGTATGTAAACAAAGAGGCGTATTATGCCGTCATTGAACAGGAATTGCATTCCCTTACATAGCGCATGCTCATTGTATTACTCATTGTATTAATGTTAAGTAGATATCCTCTCCACAAACATTTGAAAAGTCGATGTAGCTGTATTACATAAGGATGTAAAAATATCATTATACAGTTGAAAATTCCCAAAAGTAAAAATATTTAAAACGGTTTCACGGAAACCTCGTCACAATGTTTCAAGCGAGAGAAATTATTGCAAAGTACATATGAAAAATTTTTAAACAATATTTGTCTAAAAGTAAAAGCTTGAACTGTCAAAAATTACAAATTAACATTCCATATCAAACTATCTGCCATGAGCGCGATTTTCGTCATTGTAAAAGTAAATTTCATTTTTCTTTCTTTCCATTCAACACTGAGTGGTAATTGAATTTTCTTGCTCACATTGAAGTACATTTTTCTCAAAAAGTATGGTACAAAAATGGCAATGCACGGTGTTCAAAGTAAGGAAATGAACAATGTACATGTTTAACGTTGAGTAAATTAATAATTTCAGCTATTGTAACTATAATGGATACAGAACAAAGTGTGCGGACAGCAGCCGTTCTTACTAAAGGCAACAGTTTTGGGGTAATCAGATTATTTTAAGATTTTTAAATTTTAGAACCGTTAATTTGATTATTTTATAACTATAAATTTTACCTCTGAGTGTTCATTCGAATATTGACTGTACAAAAGAACTGGAAACTTGGATGACTGCACAATCATTCTGATGATAGAAGAATGATTGTTTATTTTCAAAATCTGACATGAAAAGGGGCTTGCGGACTGTAATTGTATGTTCTGGCCCTCAACAATGATGAGTTCCGTATACATGAGCAAAAATGCTGTTACATTTGTACGTCTAAGAAAGAATATAACAACAAAAACATAATACCCCAAAATACAGATGGATTGATAGATACTGCATATAGAAAATTATGGATATTTGTTTACCTTTTAACATTACAGGAGCTAGCTTTAATGCACGGATCAAAGCGAACAGCAACAGTCACCTGCAAAAACAGTGTAGAATTGTTAGCTGTTGGAAGAGATGATTTTATAGATATATTCATGCCAATAAACAAAGACCAAGAACCAGAACATATACGCTTCCTCAGATCCATTAACATACTGCATGGATGGCCAATAGAATGTCTTCCGCATCATGATCCAAAGATATGTTGCTTTACATTTTTCAGGTACTAAAATGTGATATTCTCCAGAACGTATTATACTGAGGTGAAACAAAATGAAAACAAAAACAGGTCTTTCCCTGCTATTTATATTATTCCACTTTTCGTTTTTTTTCTAGTATGATCGTTTTTGAAACAGCTACGGATGTTTTGCGATGTAAGGCTGTCTTCTCATACATATATATTGGTATATGTTTTTGTTGAAGACCGTAGGGTGACATATAGTTGCTTACATTCCAATCAGCTGGTTGATAATGGTCATTTTTGCAAACATACCACATCTCCTTATATTTATATTCAAATGCTAAAAGAGAGACCAAAGATACCAAAGGGACATAAGTCGAATTAACAATACATGAAAAAAATAACAGGAATTCAAAGACAAATATTAAATAGCACAACAGATCAAACAACTCCAACCGTCAACGCATGGCTCATCAGATTCTGTCGAAAAAATAGAAGTAATGATCAACCAGAAACAACATATTGCCTTAGTACATGCAAAAACATTCGGAAGCATGGTTGTAACATCCCATTACCCATTGTCTATCCTTAAAGATGATTTAGATATTCATTTGTTTTGATTTGTATTCTGTTAATTTCATACCGTTTTTAAATAACGTTTAAGCATTTAATATGCGGCAAATGAGAACAAGGTATTATATTTTTAAGAAAGTATCACCCGGAAATAACACAATAAATGAAATCAAGTTTTTGCTGCACACAGTCAGTCTCTTATTGATAAATATGATTTTGAAAGAAACATCGTTTTTTATACCAGGTACGTTTTTAGTTTGCGTTGTTGAGTTGCTTCTTATATACGATTTCTTCTTCTAATCTATTTTACCGGAAATTGTGTATTTTTAGAAATCGTAAATAACATTGAATTAGTTATTTCTATGTTAATTAAAACAAATTTGAAAACTATGTACTTTCAATGATATAATATAAAAGCTGATATTCACTTATGTGAGGAAATGAAAGGTTTATTACATGTAAAATAACAATCTAAAAGGTGTGATTCGAAAACACCCAGCAATGTTTAAAACGTGTGGAATTGTTGCCAATGAGAAAAATACCCACCTTTATAGTTAAAATTTTATACATTCATTTTCATGTGATATTGTTTTACCTCCTTGACTTGTTTACCTTTATTATTTTAGACGGGGTGTTTTGTTATGTAAAGACAGCAATAACAGTGAATGGGTGTACATAATCAAAACAGGCAACTGTAGAGTTTTAAAGAGTCTACAGCCAACCAGACCTACAATTCCTATATCCGAACATGATATAAAAAATTCCCATGATATTATAAGTAAGTTTTTAAAGTATAAACCTCATTTTGTACATTGAAGTGAATTGAACAACATGCTTTTTATATGAAAGACCTCTCCACACAACAAGGTACACTATATCACATTCAAACAAAACAACATACACACAAACATACTGACAACACATAATTAATATCAAAAAAGCTGAATTGAAAAACTGTTCAAATAATTAACTTCGAATAATGTTAATATGTTAGCATTCATAAAAATATAGCACATATTTAGTAAATGTATGAGCTTCAGTATAGGTACAAATTGATGAATATGTCTAATGAAAATTGAGTTACATAGATAATTTATATCATGAATGGATAGCAAGGCATGCCAGTTATAATTAAGTACCTCCAGTCAGCTTATAGTAATTAGTTTTTGACTATTTAGCGTGTCATTTATGTATTTATTCATTTAATTTGACCAATGGTATTTTTAAAGAAACTTACATCCAAACCACTCAGAACATGATGGCCGAGTAATCTTAGATTTTGTAAAATGCACTAGATAAGTACAGAATGACTGGCTACTTAATGGTGTGACGGGCATAAATTTTGTAACCATATGTTTTGAAGTAAGATGCTGACCATTATTTTGAAATTCGTTCGTCTCGTGAATTTGTTCATTTAACCTTATCTTGACTTGGAAGAACAAAATTACCGAACTTGAGGGTACCACTACTAATATGTTGTATATTGAATGATACTTGGTAAAATATTTTTAAAACCAAAAATACAATATTTTTCTTATTATCATCTGATATCAAAAATATAGAAATATCGTACTAAGTATTATATTTCAATATCTTCTTTGATACTTTTTTCAGAGTTACCCCCTTTGATATCTCCCCGGTCGACATCGTCCTGTAATACCTCTCTCTCAATACAAAGTTCGCCATCACACACGTCGGTGTCATCAGCGTCACGGAAAAAGAAACGACGACGATGTACTGTGGATAGTCTTATAAATATTCTACATAGTACCAGCGACAGTCGTAAGTATTTAGCTCTAGTAAATGAATTTTAGAATTAAATGCTAATTTGGTTTTAGCATCATCTGAAAAGTCTGAAACTAAAACCGTTTAGTCATTTTAAGAGTTAGAGGTAGATCGGGTGTCTTTTTTTTATCATCCCTTCTGGGTTTGTTCCAAAAAATATTTTACCAAGTATCATTAAATATACAGCAGAAATATCTAAAACTTGCAATTTAAGGATTAAACTATCAATAAATTAAGTGTCGTTAAGTGTATTTTAAATTTTCAGAAAACATCCGTTTAAAATCAAAGGCAGATTATTATTATAAATTTGATAGGATAGTTTTTTTGTTTTTAATTTTTCAAGAAAATAAGACCCATGACCCCCTATTTTTATTTGATATTTCGGAAGTATTTATGAAAAGCAAGTCTCATTTGAATTTTATCTAATTCTTCGTTTAATGACTCAATTAAACAAGGTCCGTGACGCTATTTTTTATATTGAAAAAGTACATTGACGAAGAAGTCTTTCAAAGAAGTTGAAGAAAATTCTATCGTCTAATATTTAGACAACCTAGCTACCTTAAGTTATTTATCAAACATTCTCTTATTGCAGAATCAATACTCTGCTAACGAATAGTTTGAACGTACTGAATTTACCGCAATGGATAAGTCTGAAAATTTACCGAAAGGCTGACCATGACTTAATAATTCATTGTTTAGTCTTTTGAGAACTATTCAGATCGGAATGGCTGTTTCATTTCATACTTGTTTGCTAGTATATAGTGGAACACTGTACCTCTGTTGCAGATGACGAACTATAAATATGTCATACAGAAATGGAAACTTATTTACGAAGATTTTTTTCACAGTAATATTATCAAGAGTGTATAAAGCTGAAAATTTTTAAAGCATCCATTCGAATTAAAACTATTAAAGAAGATTGTCAAATGATTAATCCTGCCAAATTCAGGCCGTTGTTTTTTCTAGTTTGAATTGTTTTATATTTTCTTTATTTCGTCAACGCTTACTATACCATATTTGTTAGGATCATGGATGAAACCCTTACGATTACCTTTTAATGGAAACATCCATGTCCTTTTGGTCTCTAGATAGTTGTTTCATGACAATCATACCCAACATCTCCTTATTTTTATATCTATTACATATAACGTAAATCCATTTGTTTATAAAAACAGAATTTTATAAATTTCATTCGTCCCAAGTGGTGCCATCTAGGGTTTCCTACATCAGTAACTCTCAAACCAAAACATTTGAAACCCAAAGATGTATCAATACATAGAAACGTGATGAACCCAAAACCTACCGTCAAATTCATCTGGGTTCAACTTAGTTTGCATGAGGGAGTTGGAATCTTAGTTTGTAATAATTTCTTAATTTATCATCTGAGAATTTAAGAGAATACAAAAAAAAATGTTTAAAAAGTCCGAAAAAACTGTAACAGTTTTCAGTAATTTAAAGATGTTCAACCACCATGTGTTTGCATAATTGTTCAAAAAAAAATCAACATTTTTTTCTCTTTTAATTAGCATAAATTATGCATCGTTTGTCTCTCTTTTTCAGCACATCTCAATCTTGAAGATCACAAAAAGGAAGTAGAGGTGTTATATGATAAACTGCATAACAATTTTGATAGACGTGGAAAGGTGAGATTTTCAGTTAATTTTTACAATTTAGCCAAAAAAAGTATCGTCAAAGTCATGCATCGTATTATCATTCAAATGTGCTAGTTTATGAACTTTGCCTCCACGTTTTATATGTAATATACTGTTGTTAAACTAAAAACATCCATTCGGGTTTAAACGTCCTACAAACTTATTGCTTTTTAGAAACATTAGAAATGTATACCTTCTGTTTTCAATCACTTTGCAAGGTTTGCATCAAACGAAGGCAAAATGCGCATGTTCTTTTACTGTTACACAACTGTCCCTGGTTAATTGAAGGATTAAGCGTTCACATTTATATTAACCCTTTCACATTTTATGTGTTCATAGCCAGGGAACTGCTTTTCGTTGGTTGCTTGTTTTGTTTAATATTATTAGGCTAAATAAAAAGATGGTGCTGAACTCTCTTTTTATTGTTTTGAATTCCCATTTCATCTAGGGACGCTGAATAGCGTACTACACAGCGGGGATTCTGATTATAGCTAAAGATCGTACTTGCGCAAGTGGTTGCTTCCATCCTTATTCATGAGTCGTTTTGTCTTTGTTTTCCCTTTTGACTATAGATGTCTCATTCGCAATCAAACTTATCTGTTTATTTTTCTATATCAGGAAAAGGAAGGAAGATACAAAAGAGAAAAAAAACATAAATATTTTTACATTTTTCTTTTTACAATTTCAGAGATATTCAAAAGTTTTTGAAAAATTAGAGAAAAAAATTGACAAAGAGAACATAACTGCAGAAAAACTGTTTGTTCAAATACAGAACCTTGGACCCAGAGACGTTTTTGTAAGTTGTACATGCAAATTTAAAATAAACAAGGGAATCAAGCGCACGTTAAATAAAAACTATTGAAATCTGTGAATCGCATCTTGCGATATTCCCTGACAATTACATGTTTAGGCAGTTAGGAATAAATACTCTTTAAGCTATTCATTTTGAATATGTTGAAGGCGTGTAAGAGTATTTTAAAGTGCCATAATTTCATTCCGTTTGATAGAAATTCACAGGAGAGAAAATGGGATTTGCCAAACAAATTTATCAAATTCGACCACATTTCAGTGGCGGATCCAGAGGGGGGCGTAGAGGGCGTACGCCCCCCCCCCCCTTTGCTTGCACTTTTTTTTTTTTTTTTTTTTGTAAAATGATTAATCAGACTAGACTTCGTGAACTTTGCCATTTCCCGTGTATTTAATTTTTATGCGACAATTCTTTACTTATAAAGATATTTTTCGCTCGTATTTAGTGTAATATATTATTGATTATGTCAAAGTCATGTGATTCTCTACGGTGGAGCTGACCAGTTCGTCGAAAAAAACGTCACTCAGTCATTTTGAAATTCAAATCACAGTAACACATTACTTAGGCTGAGGATGACAAGCACGTCGCCTTCAAAGCGACAAAGTATTGAGCAAAAACGTATTGAATTCTATTTCACAATTCCACCCAACAGAAAGTAATTATTTATACTCTATTACACTCTCATGAAAAAAAAAGTTCCACAGCAATATTATTTACCTACGAAAACATGTTTAACCCCACACGCCCCAGCCCATTAATAACATTGCTAAATAGTGATCCCCAGTCAGTAAGCTATAGATATAGATTTAAAGTCTAAGGAACGGACCATTTGATCTGAGGGGGCAGTCTTAGATTTTTAAGAGAAAAAATTCTGACCCTGATTTTTGCCTTAAACAAAAATTCTGGCCGTATCTGGATTGAAAACAATAATCTTGTCCACTTTTTTGCTATTAGAAAAAAATATTTTCAACAGAATTATTTAGCATTAAATGAACATGATGAATAAAAAACGGGCGTAATTTTTTTTTTGGGGGGTTGCATGTGAATCCCATATCTGACCGGAATGTCTGTTTCGCCGAACTGATATACTGAATACTTTTTCAAGGCCCGACTGCAACCTGCCTGCTGGGTGTGGCCTATATGTCTCCATGTGTCGACCGTCATTCACAACTTCATTGTCATTTTCGACTAATTCGTAGCCTTTGGTTGATTTGGAACCCCTCACTTCCCTTGTTGGGTAAAACATTTCAACCAAACATTTGGATGAAAATTGCTTGTTTGTCTTTCTTCGTGTCGGTCGTATTGTAAATTTCATTGAATAGCCGTATATCTTGTTTACAACAAGAAATCTGTGAGGTTATGCTAACTAACCATACAACAAACGATAATTTTCCATGTCCATTTTTTACTGGCAAATCCCACATCAAATATATTAATTAGTACATAGCTTTGGATCCATCCAATCATTTCATAATAGACAATTGGTGGAGAGAATACGGCACCAAAAATGTCCAACCCCTACACTTTAACTATAAAATGCATTTTACACTTATTTTATGTTTTTTAGCCAAAAAAAGGTCCAAAAAATTTTTTCGCCTCGCTACGCTCGGCGAACTTTATTACTACGCCCCCCTTTTCAAAATCCTGGATCCGCCTCTGCATTTCATGATCGTATGTATCCTATTCGAATGAAACTAAGTATCTCATAGAATTCCCTTACATAGCAAGCATTATGTTTGTTCATATTGTACTCGCAAACGCTTGTTGGTGTATACATATTGATATAGATTATGGTAATCCATGTTGAAGGAACATCGAGCATGGCATGATATGTAGAAAATATCATATGGCTTTTTATATATCACATCCGTAATAATTATTCCATATCAACCCGAGACACCAATATTATCCGGATTAAATTGGTTGAGGGGTGAGTGATATTGAAATAGCCATATCATATATACACTTTATTATGTACCTCAAGTAGATGTTTTCGTACAGTTTATGGTGGTGATAAAGCCTTTTTAAATCCGACTGCTATCGATGACATGACGTCATACAGTTTATGGTGGTGATAAAGCCTTTTGTTTTAGTTAAGCGAAATAAAATTTACGGTTCCGATTTTACTGCGACAGATTCCCTTTTCCAACATATCTCTTCAGTGATGCTTGATGCCAACATATAAATCAAAACTCCTTAACCTCAAGGGGCTGATCAAACCAAAAAGAATCAAAGTATAGCCAAATCGAGACAAGGAATAAAAGACAAAGTTCACTTTGGGCCAAATATGGCCTTGCATTTCAACTTTATCATAAAATATCAAAATGACAATAATTTTGTTCTTAAATAGTTTTACTTCAAAAGCCTTGCTACTAAGTTAATCAAATCTCTCCATAAGAGTACATTCTAGTCTTCAAAGTCGACATATTTTTTATATATTTTCAAAATATGATGATTTTGTACATTTTTCAAACTTAAAGGCTTGAGGAAACCCTTGGCCGCAACCTACGATCCAAAATATTTTGTAACCAAAAGATGTTAATAATTATATTGAATTCCTAGACACAAAAATTTTCTGGATCAGGAGTGGCGGCCAAAGTTAATTATGTTAAAAACTGTTAAGAATTATTGAAAATTTGACCACAACTAACGTTTCAATACAAATAATGAATAATAATGGGGTTATTACTTCACAATTTATAATATGATGTGCCAAAATGAACTTATTTTGTATTAATAGTAATATCACAACTACTTCCATGTGAAATATGTACTATTTTGGCACGATTAAAAAAACATCAAAATATCAATGCAATCCTTATTTTTAATTGTAAACTATAGATATGGTATTGTATTGCGTAATCGAGAGATCAATAAGTCGTAAATGGGGAAAAGGAAGACCGCATTGCGGATTCAGGTGATGGACAACGTATTGTATTGTAGTACTGTGTAGTATTGACACATATATCCTGTAACAGTCAACTAGATCGTGAATGTGAAACACTTCACGGTGTTACAAATATCATTGAAAACTGTGACAAGTTGACATGTTAATCATAAATCGGAAAAAGGACAGAGAACACAGAGTAAACATGATGTGAAATATTATATATGTTTTCCATTTTATTAGGTCATCAAAAATACATACAAAGGTACTAGCCCACATCTTGAAATGCCACAAATATCTATTAGCAAAACAGGAGTCACAAAATTACTATCAAATCTTAACCCCCACAAAGCATGTGGACCTGACAATATAAACGGTAGAGTATTAAAAGAATTAAAAGAGCAAGTGTCACCAATACTTACATTAATATTCAGTAAGTCATTAGAGTCGGGGGAAACACCTAAAGAATGGAAGCATGCCAACGTTGCTCCAGCATTTAAAAAAGGGGAAAATATAAGCCTGTAAATTACAGACCCATATCATTAACATGTATATGCTGTTAGATCATGGAACATATCATCACAAGTAACATAATGTCACATTTAGAACAAAACAACATTTTATATAATCTACAACATGGCTTCAGAAAAAAACGATCTTGTGAATCACAATTAATTGACTTCATTCAAGAACTAACATCTAGTAATAATAGTAACATTCAAATTGACCTTATCATTATGGACTTTGCTAAAGCGTTTGATAAAGTTCCTCACCAACGATTACTTTACAAACTTCAATACTATGGTATAAGGAAAAATACACTTAAATGGATCCAAGCTTTTTTATCCGATAGAACACAAACAGTTGTAATAAATGGTATTTCTTCATCATCAGTGCCAGTTACATCTGGAGTCCCACAGGGTACTGTACTGGGCCCCATATTATTTCTCATTTACATTAATGACTTCTCTGAATATTTAACACATAGCAAATTAAGACTCTTTGCTGATGACAGCATTATATATAGAGAAATCAAATCTCAATCAGACTGTGATAAATTACAAGAAGATCTAAACGCTGCAGCAAAGTGGGAAGCAGATTGGCTTATGGCTTTCCACCCTGATTATTGTACTAAACTTTCAATTTCACATAAAAAGAAACCATATTTACATGATTACATCCTTCATAGTCACATTCTTGAATCTGTTACATCTGCTAAATATCTGGGCGTTACTCTACAATCAAATCTTAAATGGAACCTACATTATGACAACATTATCTCAAACGGCAATAAATCTTTAGGATTCCTTAAAAGAAATTTAAAAATATCAAACACAGACATTAAATCAAGAGCATATCAAGCGATAGTCAGACCTAAATTAGAATACAGCTGCAGTTTATGGGACCCTCACACAAAAGATGCTACCCAAAAAATAGAAATGGTTCAAAGAAGAGCAACTAGGTACATTTGTAACAACTACCACAACACCAGTAGCGTTACAAATATGATGAATAATTTAAAACTACCGACATTAGCTGAACGCCGCCTTAAAACACGTCTTATTATATTTTACAAAGTAATTCACGGCCTCATTGCCATACCATCTGAAATTTTAATACCAACAGACAGTAGAACAAGACAAAACCATCCAAATACTTATAGACATATACGAACCACAAAGGAAACATATAAGTGGTCATTTTTCCCACACACCATCATACAATGGAACATGCTACCTATAGCCACAGTACAGTCAACCACAGTTGACAGTTTCAGAGCACACCTTACACAAGGTGTTCTCTGCCAACTGATTTAAATTTTTGTATATAATTTTTTATTTTAATCACTAGTTTTTGTAATATACATGCACAAATTGTCAAATTTATATATATTTTTTTTGTTCTTTGGCATCTACAAGAAAATTAAATTTTAACATGCATGCGCAACAACAAGTAATCTTCAGTATCCTGAAGTTTTGTTGTATAACTGAAGAAGAAGAAGAATTCCGAACAAGTTAAGGGTTCTAATAAATATTGATGAAAAATAAACGTCATGTATTTTTATAGGGGTTGGAGCAAGTAGCGTTTGGAATGATAGGCAATACAACAAGTACGATATTAGTATCTGATGGTGCTGAATGTATACTGATTAACAAGAAATATTTCCAACAGCATCTTAATGACGAAGGAGCCAAACGATTAAGACGAACTGTATGTATATATAATAGTGTGATTAAAATTATACTTTTGTAACTTTTGTGTAATTGTAGTTGATAATGTTGTTTTGAGTAGGAAAAATGTCCTTTTTGCAATTTATAGTATATACATGTATGACCAACAAACTATATTTCAATTATTTTCTACGTGGTAAACCTATACCTACGAAATCAACGATAACTGATATTCCACGAATAATACTGAATTGACAGTATTAAAAATGCCCGGAATGACTATTGTTATAAATTTAACAATTCAACTGTCCAGAGGTGAAAAATCACATCATTTTGATCCAGTTGTTGAATTTATAGTTGTTTTCTAGGATCGTAAGCATATTTTTAGCTCACCTGGCCCGAAGGGCCAAGTGAGCTTTTCTCATCACTTGGCGTCCGTCGTCCGTCGTCCGGCGTCGTCCGTCGTCGTCCGGCGTCGTCCGTCGTCGTCCGGCGTCGTCCGTCGTCGTCCGTCGTCGGCGTTAACTTTTTACATTTTGAACTTCTTCTAGAGAACCACTGAATGGAATGAAACCAAACATGGCATGAATGTTCCTTATGAGGTGCTGACCAAGTGTTGTTACTTTGTAGCCGATCCATCATCCAAGATGGCCGCCAGTGGGGGACTTAGTTTAACATAGGACCCTATGGGAAATGCATACAAATGACTTCTTTTAGAGAACCACTGAATGGAATGAAACCAAACATGGCATGAATGTTCCTTATGAGGTGCTCACCAAGTGTTGTTACTTTGTAGCCGATCCATCATCCAAGATGGCTGCCAGCGGGGGACTTAGTTTAACATAGGACCCTATGGGAAATGCATACAACTGACTTCTTTTAGAGAACCACTGAATGGAATAAAACCAAACATGGCATGAATGTTCCTTATGAGGTGCTGACCATGTGTTGTTACTTTGTAGCCGATCCATCATCCAAGATGGCCGCCATCGGGGAACTTAGTTTAACATAGGACCCTATGGGAAATACATACAAATGTCTTCTTTTAGAGAACCACTGAATGGAATGAAACCAAACATGGCATGAATGTTCCTTATGAGGTGCTGACCAAGTGTTGTTACTTTGTAGCCGATCCATCATCCAAGATGGCCGCCAGCGGGGGACTTAGTTTAACATAGGACCCTATGGGAAATACATAAAAATGTCTTCTTTTAGAGAACCACTGAATGGAATGGAACCAAACATAGCATGAATGTTCCTTATGAGATGCTGACCAAGTGTTGTTACTTTGCAGTCGGCCCAACATCCAAGATGGCCGCCAGCAGGGGACTCAGTTTAACATAGGACCCTATGGGAAATACATACAAATGTCTTCTTTTAGAGAACCACTGAATGGAATGAAACCAAACATGGCATGAATGTCCCTTATGAGGTTCTGACCAAGTGTTGTTACTTTGTAGCCGATCCATCATCCAAGATGGCCGCCAGCGGGGGACTTAGTTTAACATAGGACCCTATGGGAAATACATACAAATGTCTTCTTTTAGAGAACCACTGAATGGAAAGAAACCAAACATGGCATGAATGTTCCTTATGAGGTGCTGACCAAGTGTTGTTACTTTGCAGTCGGTCCATCATCAAAGATGGCCGACAGCAGGGGACTTAGTTTAACAAAGGACCTATGGGAAATACATACAAATGTCTTCTTTTAGCGAACCACTGAATGGAATGAAACCAAACATGGCATGAATGCTCCTTATGAGGTACTGACCAAGTGTTGTTACTTTGCAGTCGGTCCATCATCCAATATGGCCGACAGCAGGGGACTTAGTTTAACAAAGGACCTATGGGAAATACATACAAATGTCATCTTTTAGAGAACCATTGAATGGAATGAAACCAAACATGGCATGAATCTTCCTTATGAGATGCTGACCAAGTGTTGTTACTTTGTAGCCGATCCATCATCCAAGATGGCCGACAGCGGGGGACTTAGTTTAACATAGGACCCTATGGGAAATACATACAATTGTCTTCTTTTAGAGAACCACTGAATGGAATTGAACCAAACATTGCATGAATGTTCCTTATGAGTTGCTGACCAAGTGTTGTTACTTTGCAGTCGATCCATCATCCAAGATGGCCGCTAGGGGGGGGGCTTAGTTTAACATAGGACCCTATGGGAAATACATACAAATGTCTTCTTTTAGAGTACCACTGAATGGAATGAAACCAAACATGGCATGAATGTTCCTTATGAAGTGCTGACCAAGTGTTGTTACTTTGTTGTCGATTTACTGTTCAAGATGGCCACCAGGATATTTTATTAAATAACGGGACCAATATTAATCAAAATTTGGCCTCAATCATTATTTGGGTATCTGTTATGATTTTTATCTATCTTTACATGATTTCTAAAACCAAAGTAGAGTCAGGTGAGCGACACAGGCTCTTGAGAGCCTCTAGTTCTAGTTTCCAGACAATAACTTGTGTTCAAGCGTATGGATCTCTCTGAAATTGTACTGCAAGGTACCATACCTCAAAGGGAAGGCTGGGATTGAGTATGGGGGTGATGAATCATAAGGGGGTTCAAAAAATTGGGGGGGGGGGGGGGGGTTTCCTTTTTAGCTCACCTGGCCCGAAGGGCCAAGTGAGCTTTTCTCATCACTTGGCGTCCGTCGTCCGTCGTCCGGCGTCGTCCAGCGTCGTCCGGCGTCGTCCGGCGTCGGCGTAAACTTTTTACATTTTGAACTTCTTCTAGAGAACCACTGAATGGAATGAAACCAAACATGGCATGAATGTTCCTTATGAGGTGCTGACCAAGTGTTGTTACTTTGTAGCCGATCCATCATCCAAGATGGCCGCCAGCGGGGGACTTAGTTTAACATAGGACCCTATGGGAAATGCATACAAATGACTTCTTTTAGAGAACCACTGAATGGAATGAAACCAAACATGGCATGAATGTTCCTTATGAGGTGCTGACCAAGTGTTGTTACTTTGTAGCCAATCCATCATCCAAGATGGCCGCCAGCGGGGGACTTAGTTTAACATAGGACCCTATGGGAAATGCATACAAATGACTTCTTTTAGAGAACCACTGAATGGAATAAAACCAAACATGGCATGAATGTTCCTTATGAGGTGCTGACCAAGTGTTGTTACTTTGTAGCCGATCCATCATCCAAGATGGCCGCCAGCGGGGGACTTAGTTTAACATAGGACCCTATGGGAAATGCATACAAATGTCTTCTTTTAGAGAACCACTGAATGGAATGAAACCAAACATGGCATGAATGTTCCTTATGATGTGCTCACCAAGTGTTGTTACTTTGCAGTCGATCCATCATCCAAGATGGCCGCCAGCGGGGGACTTAGTTTAACATAGGACCCTATGGGAAATACATACAAATGTCTTCTTTTAGAGAACCACTGAATGGAATGAAACCAAACATGGCATGAATGTTCCTTATGAGGTGCTGACCAAGTGTTGTTACTTTGCAGTCGGTCCATCATCCAAGATGGCCGACAGCAGGGGATTTAGTTTAACAAAGGACCTATGGGAAATACATACAAATGTCTTCTTTTAGAGAACCACTGAATGGAATGAAACCAAACATGGCATGAATGTTCCTTATGAGATGCTGACCAAGTGTTGTTACTTTGTAGCCGATCCATCATCCAAGATGGCCGCCAGCGGGGGGACTTAGTTTTACATAGGACCCTTTGGGAAATACATAAAAATGTCCTCTTTTAGCGAACCAATAAATGGAATGGAACCAAACATGGCATGAATGTTCCTTATGAGATGTTGACCAAGTGTTGTTACTTTGCAGCCGATCCATCATCCAAGATGGCCGACAGCGGGGGACTTAGTTTAACATAGGACCCTATGGGAAATACATACAATTGTCTTCTTTTAGAGAACCACTGAATGGAATTGAACCAAACATGGCATGAATGTTCCTTATGAGTTGCTGACCAAGTGTTGTTACTTTGCAGTCGATCCATCATCCAAGATGGCCGCTAGGGGGGGGGGGGGGGGGGGCTTAGTTTAACATAGGACCCTATGGGAAATACATACAAATGTCTTCTTTTAGAGTACCACTGAATGGAATGAAGCCAAACATGGCATGAATGTTCCTTATGAAGTGCTGACCAAGTGTTGCTACTTTGTTGCCGATTTACTGTTCAAGATGGCCACCATGATATTTTATTAAATAACGGGACCAATATTAATCAAAATTTGGCCTAAATCATTATTTGGGTATCTGTTATGATTTTTATCTATCTTTACATGATTTCTAAAACCAAAGTAGAGTCAGGTGAGCGACACAGGCTCTTGAGAGCCTCTAGTTTGATATTCTTTTAATGTTCTCTTTGGTCATACACCCTCTAATGTTTCTAAATATTCAAACATCCCTGGATTTCGTTGGTGGGTTTGAGCTTTCTTGATGAAGATAAATCCAGAAAAACGCTTTCTGTGCACGAATTTATAAAGTATTTTTTCATTTGTATATACTAGTAATAGGTCAAATTATAACTCATTGATTCAAAATTACTTTTCTTTAAATGTAAATTCTTTTGCAGCTTCAACCTTTACCATCAGAAGAAAGCCTACAACAGAAACTGCAGGATAAAACAAACTGGGAAGCTTACAAAGCATTGACAGTAATAGATCAAATATTGTACAAAAGACAGATTCAAAATACAGATTCTTTGTTCTACTGAATACTCAGAATAAAACATGTTTTACTTTTAAGTGAATTTGATTGTAGCAGCTTACCTTCAAGTGATAAGGATTAGGAAAAATAATCCATGTATGTTAATATTATCATGCAGTTGAATCGATAAGAAGAGGAAGAAAACCAACCTAATGTGTTACACCACTGCACTAGGTTAAGGGTGGGTTGGGCACCCGCAAACATGTTTAACCCCACATTATTTGTATGTGTCTCTCCCAAAGTCAGGAGCCTTTAATTCAGTGGCTGTCATTTGTTGCTGTGTACCATATTTGTTTTGTGCATAAATCAGGCCGTTAGAACTGTTTTACATTTTGTCATTTCATGGCCTTTTATAGCTTGCTATGAGGTATTGTTTTGCTCATTGTTGAAGACTGTACGGTGACCTATATATGTCAACTTCTACTTCATTTGGTCTTTGGTGAAAAGTTGCCTCATTGGCAACCATACCCCATCTTTTTATTTTTACATTATGGTAGTAGTTGCAAGCTTTATTGCGTTTTCAATTTGATATACCAGCCAATGTTTCCATCTCATAACTGAACTAATGTACATTTTTAGTGAATACCAAATATTTCTCTGGTATACATCCATATTTTTTTTATCAATTTTAAAACTATTGCACAAACATCTCATTCATTTAAGATACATATTAATAAAATTCTTGACAATTGTATTTGTATGTGCATTTTTCCCATACAAGACAATATAAAATTCAACATTTGTATTGAACCAACTAAGGGCTCATTGAGGGCATGATTAAAGATGTAACACTACACAAAGAAGTGAATATTATTATCCATAAAAACACACGTCATTTTTTTATCATTAATGGTTTCAGATTTAAAAACTTGCATTTTTCTCAAAGGAATTTGACAACAAAAGAGAGGCGAAAGATACCAAAGGACATTCAAACTCATAAGTCTACAATAATTCAGTGAACACCATGGCTAAAAAGAAAATGACAAAAATACAAACAACAGCATACAAAACACAACATAGAAAACTGATGACAGAGCGACAGATGCCAATTCCAAGTAATGTAATAAACTCAAATAAACCTTTAGCCAAGATGAGCTTGAAACTGCTTTGAATAAATCATATTTCATTCAAATTCATAAATGAAACGATAATTATAAGCCTTAATATTTGTTTTCCAGTATCTCTAATTTCTGTTCTTTATTGAAATATGAACATGATCAATGTATTTTACTGAAGCATTTCATAACAAATTTTCTTGCACAGTTAATATTATGATATTTAGGTCTGAAGACTATCTCAAGATGATATTTTGGTCTATAAACTATCCTTAGATGATATTTATGTTTGTAAGACTATCATTGGATGATATTTAGGTCCTTAGACTATCCTAAGATGATATTTATGTCTGTAAGAGTATCCATAGATTATATTTAGATCTGTAGACTATCCTTGGATGATATTTAGGTCCGTAGACTATCCTTAGATGATATTTATGTCTGTAAGACTATCCTTGGAAGATATTTTTGTCTGTAAGACTATCCTTAGATGATATTTATGTCTGTAGAATATATTTAGATGATATTTATGTCTGTTAGAGTATTCTCGGAAGATATTTTGTCTGTAAGACTATTCTTAGATGATATTTATGTCTGCAGACCATCCTTAGATGATATTTATGTCTGTAAGAGTATCCATAGATTATATTTAGATCTGTAGACTATCCTTGGATGATATTTAGGTCCGTAGACTATCCTTAGATGATATTTATGTCTGTAAGACTATCCTTGGAAGATATTTTTGTCTGTAACACTATCCTTAGATGATATTTATGTCTGTAGAATATATTTAGATGATATTTATGTCTGTTAGACTATTCTCGGAAGATATTTTGTCTGTAAGACTATTCTTAGATGATATTTATGTCTGCAGACTATCCTTAGATGATATGTATGTCTGTAAAAGACTATCCTTAGATGATATTTAGGTCTGAAGACTATCCTTCTTCTGTGAGAAATTTCAATAATTTTCCAATATCCAAAAATGTCTGTACAAGCTGTTTTCTATCATCTTTTCTAAGTATGTTATATTCTCTAGTGTGTGTCACAGTTGCTCCTTTGTTGAGTAAATATCCATTACACAAATTGTCATAATACTCATTCTGTGGCTCAAAAGATGTCAATGTCACCTGAAAAATATAACATTATTCCTGTGAAACTGACAGACAAACATGTCAAGGTATAAATATCTGCACATCATACTTAAGTAGACAAGTTTCCGATTTCCTTTTTATGAATGAACTGCCGTGGTTGACATGAGATCATTCAGGGGAAAATACATCATAAGATTTTTGTGACATTAGGATATTTGCTTTGTGATGTCAAAATTTTTACGGGAACATGCACTAATTTCATATATTTTACCAAATATGAAAGCTAGAAGACAACTCTGCTCTGAGGAGTTGTGTTAAAAAATTTTAAATGGAAGGACTAAACATATTCTTATGTTCCTCAAAATTTTCCGGGAAAAGACCCAATAAAAATTGATAGACATAGAGTTTCAAAGTCACAGACCTCAAGCTAAGGTTTAACACAAACTCAAATGAGGCTACTCAAGCAATCATAAACACTTGTTTATATCAAATTTTAGAATCTTGTGAAAAGGGACTTTACAATAACCTTTTCTTCTGTGAAAAATCCAGCTCAATCTTCATTCTGATCACTCAACACTTATATATATATAATACTAAGATTCCACTTATTTTCACAAATTTGGAATCATATTTATATTCTTTATGATACAGTACAAGTCAATCCAAAACATAACCATAATATTGCCAGCAAAAATGTAAAATGCACACCTAGAAATATGTAAGTGAACATGAAGTTAGAAAATAGTAAATCTCAGAACACAGGACAAACAACTCCAAATACAGTATATGACTAAACAACATGCAATATGAATAGTTTTGAGTATAAACCTATGGCAGACAGATAAACATGATGAAAGAATAAATACATTGATACACTCTTTTCAGTTTGGCGGTATGTGACCAGCTGAGAAGGTACTTTTTTTTAAAATCATATATTTTTGACAATATAATAAATACATACATTTGTTCCTTGTACAATAAATCCATACATTCCATTATTTCCAAAGACTGAAAATGGTAAGATACACAGAAACTGTCCACAGTGTTGACCTATGAGAGATGATTCAATTTGTCGGGAATAAGATGTTCTCTGCAAACCCCTTAAATTTCTGACTTGTTCAAGGTTCTCATCTTGTTTGCATTGCTTCACCTGAGGTAAAAAAGAAATGTGTAAATTTTCTAGAAACAAACATGAAAGGCAAGCATAACCTTTCAATAAATGTTGAAATTTTGTTTTAGTTATAATTGTATTTATTACATTTTCATGAAATTATATAAGGATTGTATTTGATAGACATGATAGATTAAGAATATTATTTTTATTTTCTAAATTTAAGCAAGGGCCAAAAAAATGGCCATCACTCCTTCTCCTTTATTAGAAACACAGTCATTTATGCTTTTCTGATTAAAGAAATGTGCAAGCTTGATCAAATTCAAAGATATAGGAGAAGTTTTTGATATAAGAATAAATGGGGAATGTGTCCATGGGACACAGATGATGCCACCACTTACATATAATGTTAATAAAATGCTTCGCTGGGCGCAGCTTGATACGACCGCAGAGGTCGAACCCTGAACAGTTGGGGCAAGTATGGACACAACATTCAAGCTTGATACAGCTCTGAATTTGGATTGTTATTAAATATTTGACACAGCATAGGTTTCTGACACAGAAAGAATGTGGTCTAAGAACTTCAATTTTTTTAATTTACCTATTATGGTCCAATGTCCAAAATCAAAATACATGGTTAGATTCAGCATATCAAAGAACCCCATATATTCAATTTTTGTTGAAATCAAACAAAGTTTAATTTTGGACCCCAACTTGGACAAACTTGAAAACTGGTCCCATAATCAAAAATCTAAACACATGTTTAGATTCAGCATATCAAAGTACCCGAAGAATTCAATTTTTGTTAAAATCAAACTAAGTTTAATTTTGGACCCTTTGGACCTTAATGTAGACCAATTTAAAAAACGGGACCCAAAATTAAAAATCTAAATACACCGTTAGATTCGGCATATCAAAGAACCCCAATAATTCAATTTTTGATGAAATCAAACAAAGTTTAATTTTGGACCCTTTTGACCTCAATATGAACCAATTTGATAGCGGGCCCACAAATAAAAAATCTAAATACATGGTAAGATTCAGCATATCAAAGAACCCCATATATTCAATTTTTGTTGAAATCAAACAAAGTTTAATTTTGGACCCCAATTTGGACCAACTTGAAAACTGGGCCAAAAATCTAAAATCTAAATACATGTTTAGATTCAGCATATCAAAGAACCCCATATATTCAATTTTTGTTGAAATCAAACAAGGTTTAATTTTGGACCCCAACTTGGACAAACTTGAAAACTGGTCCCATAATCAAAAATCTAAACACATGTTTAGATTCAGCATATCAAAGTACCCGAAGAATTCAATTTTTGTTAAAATCAAACTAAGTTTAATTTTGGACCCTTTGGACCTTAATGTAGACCAATTTAAAAAACGGGACCCAAAATTAAAAATCTAAATACACGGTTAGATTTGGCATATCAAAGAACCCCAATAATTCAATTTTTGATGAAATCAAAGAAAGTTTAATTTTGGACCCTTTTGACCTCAATATGAACCAATTTGATAGCGGGCCCACAAATAAAAAATCTAAATACATGGTAAGATTCAGCATATCAAAGAACCCCATATATTCAATTTTTGTTGAAATCAAACAAAGTTTAATTTTGGACCCCAATTTGGACCAACTTGAAAACTGGGCCAAAAATCTAAAATCTAAATACATGTTTAGATTCAGCATATCAAAGAACCCCATATATTCAATTTTTGTTGAAATCAAACAAAGTTTAATTTTGGACCCCAACTTGGATGAACTTGAAAAC